CCAAATTATCCCGAGGGTTGTTCCGACGAAGGGTGTAAAGGCAGAGAGACAGGGAGACATCGAGACAGAGTGAGAGAGAAAGGGTGGGGAAGGGAAAGGGGATACTTTACTCTCCGTTTTCCTCTATCTATCTATCTCTCTCTCTCTCTCTCTCTCTCTCTCTCTCTCTTCGTATTTCTGTTTCCCTTGCACGCGTTAGATCGTTGCATATTTTAGAAACGTTTGCATTCCTCTTCTGCAGCCCCCTTTCTCTCTCTCTCTCTCTCTCACTCTCTCTTTCTCACGCCATCCAATTCACTGATTCATTGCATCTACGTTCCAACGCGACTGGATCGTGAAATTAGATTTGCAAACGTCAGGGCTATCGATTAATCGTTTGTGCACTATCGATGGATCACCTTACGGGGTCAGTTTGACTTCGTTACCCTTACCCTTATTGCTGGTTAAATTTTGATACTCGACTAAGTTTGCTTTCAATACTGTTTGATCTTTCGAAAATTTATGGTTGCTTATATTTTTCATCGTCATCAGGAAAATTATATCAACACTTAAGGTACCAAGCCCATTTTGTGGAGTACAATAAAAGAAAGTTGGATTGTTTGTATTGAAACTCTTTCAAGATGACACGTATGACAATAACTTCTAGCCTACTTCCAGGTGTCCTACGATCAGAGAAACCTTTCCAGTCCCTTTTTGGCCCTTTAAGTATTATCTTCAAGTATATCTTAAAAGAAATATCTTATCACAAATCGTAAATAACCAGATAGAGTAACAAAAGACTTGAAATCAATCGGGCGCCGTATCAGCGCCATTCGAGTTGTCACTTAAATCTGCCGGGCGCTAATTCGGCGCCGCTCGAGTGCAAAGGGGTTAATAAATAATGAACACGTATACATTTATGAATTAGTTGCACCTAAATATCAGGTTGGTATTTAATGGGGTGGTGGTATATTAAATACTACCTTGGTTAAGAACGAACCTTCAAAACGTTTAATTTGCATGCTTGTACCTCTTGTACATCGAACAAGGAGAGAGAGAGAGAGAGAGAGAGAGAGAGAGAGTAAATATGCGGAAAAGGAGGACAAAAGGGAAAGAATGAGAGAGAGAGGAAAGGAGAGACATCAGGCAGACCGTCTGAGTCGTAAAATGTTAACTGCTAGTAAAACTGAGTTTACGCGCTTGTAAGGACCCCCGTAGGAGGTTTGCCACCCCCTCGACGTGGCACGAAAGGGCCGCCCCTTACACCCCCTAATGGCCAGATTATTGCCCGTAAGCCACCCCCACCCCTCCTCCATCAGTCGAGTTTCTTCCTCGTGTCGTTTCTAAGACGTGAACGGGCTCGCATATTTTCTTTTACGGAATTTCATGGAAATCATTTTCTTAAGACGTTTCATTTTCTTTCGTGTGTGGACACTTTTAAATAAATTCTTATAATCTTTTTTTTTTTTATCTTTTTTTATTGTTCATTTCGTTTCATTGAACCATCTTGTGATCGGTTGGTTTCTTTATGTTTCTTTTTGATTCTCGAGATGGGATGCATTAAAATCGATTCGCATACGTTTTCTTATTCGATGTTGCTGATGGTCTTCTTTAAATTGTTATTTTTATGATCCCCGTTTCGATCTAATGATCTTTCTCAAAATATTTTACGTTAGTAAGATGTTCCAATGAATTTCACTTGCCTTTTTTTACGATTTTATTATCTCTCAATGATTTTATTGGAATATATAGAAAATTACTTATAGTTTATTATCGTGTTGAACAAAAATTATAGTCTTCTTTTTTTTTTTTATATTTTATTCCTCAATCATAAACAAAACATTTCTTCACTTAAGATCTTTTCGTTTTCTTCAACAAACTGTATCGCGAAACTGAACTACTTTTATTTTTAATTATCCTTTAACTCTTCTGAAAACTTTTCTATCCGTTGTGCATCGTACGAAACGTGGAACACGAAAAACGGATATGAAAGTTTTAATGGTGAACCGAGTTTTTTTATTTTTTTTTTTTTTATTTTCTTTTCCTTATACCCATCTTGCATTTATTCTTAACTCGTTCGTAGAAACGTCCAAAGATTTTTCTTAGTTATGAGTTTTGAAAAGAAAAATAATATTAACACTATGGCTCCACGTTGGTGCCATGCAAAAATTATTGAGTAAGTGCCGGTGGCTCCACTGTGGTGCCATTCGGAAATTATATATATATATATATACTCGTCTATACACAAAATTGTGCTATTTTCCCATGACGAGTATACTCGTCAATAGACAAAATTGTGCCATTTTTTCCCATGACAAGTATACTCGTCAATAGACAAAATTGTGCCATTTTTCTCATGACGAATATACTCGTCAATACAAAAAAAAAAAACAGTGCAACTTCCCCATGACGAGTATACTTGTCAATGCACAAAATCGTGCCATTTTTCTTCATGACGAGTATACTCGTCAATTACAGTCAACAAGTTAAATGTAACTATGCAACTTACTTTTATCTGCTGTACAAAAAAAATTTTAATATCCTTGATAAATGACGTGAAATGCATGGGACAGTAAAGGTGTTAATCGAATGATTTTCGATCATGAAATTCCCTAGAGTGTAAATCCCCTAAAGGGTATGTTTCACCCTCCTTTTTTTTCTTTCATCCCATTTTACTTCCAGAATCACGCGTTCTAATTGTTACACTTCGTATAAATGCATTAGCCTCGTGCATTCGTTTCACGGTTTCCCGGATTTCAACTTTGAACTTTTACCCTCACTTTTCGATCTCTCCGGAGACTTTTGATTCTTTTTTTTTTTTTTTTTTTATCCAAGCTAACTTGAAACTCCTCGGATAAGAGACAAAGAAAGAGAATGAGAAATTGGGGATGGGTGGAGAAAGGAAATGAGAAGGAGGTGATAAGTTTTTAACGAATTTAAATCAGGATTTAAATAGAATTACGTTTCCGAGATCGGCTTGAATTTTTTTTCATCAAATTATCAAAGAAAATAAAATAACTTAAGTTAGGAAAGTTGAAAAATGTTCCCTTTAACTGTGTAGGTTCGTTGATTTTTATGTACACGGATGAAACTCCTCTAAATGTATGATTGAAAATGTAAATTTGAACCAAAAGTTTAATACACACACACACACACAAACATACACGGAGTATACCGTGTATGTGTAAAAAAAATCGATTGGTTTTTCCACATGGAAGGAAAGTGCTCGATTGATTTTTACGATGTCGATGTCAGGGGATGGTTTGAGGTTAGTAGAGGGTTGAGAGAAAAACCCCTTTCTGGTCATTGAAAATTTAAAAAAAGGGAACCCCTTTATAAGCGTTTCGTTTTTATAGTAAATTTAGTGTCGACCTATGAGTAAAAATATTCTTCGCATTGTCGCGTTACAACCACTACTACCATCGTAGAACAAAAATTCTTCAAATGGCTTCATCATTATCGTACCAACCCCTTTACGTATAAAACCCCTTTTTCGTCGGAGTCTTTATGGTGCTTCCTAGGATTCTCGAGTATTCCGTCCTTATTTTTCTAACCAAGTGTGTGCTTCGTGTATCTATGTGAAGTACGTGAGTACGTGTGTCTAACCAAGGAGAATAAAAAGCGTCGAATTCGCGTCTTTCTCAAAGAACTGTCAAAATACTGGTAGAAACGTAAAAGAGGAAGAGAGAGGGAACGGGGAACTGGGTTCTTCAGCATAGTAAGAGAAAAAGAGTAAAGTAACTATTTCTCCCTTCTCTTGTTTGCCATCTCTTTTCTTCTTTCTCTTTCATTCTCTGTCGTTTTATAGCTCGTCCAGCTCTATCATACCTCGTAAAAGTACAATAAAAGCACTGTTACGCCTTAGTAAAGCACCCGTTCTAAACCACTGCGTGCACAGCTCCTTAACTGAGAAGAAGAAGAAGAAGAGGAAGAGGGAGGGAAGGGTGTATAAAAGAAAGACAGAGAAGAAAGAGACATTGAAACGAGTAGGATAGAATATCAAAGTCAAATTGATTCTTTTATGATCAACGAACGTGCTGCTCTCGATTCTTAACATCGACGATTTTCTTATGTACACCACCTACTATCGAATTGATTAATAGTATTACTTCTTACTTTTTTTTTTTATTTATATCATACTATTATTATTATTATTAACCTCTTGCAGTACACTGAAATTTAGAATAAGCCGTGCCTAAACCATGCACCCGAATTGCTGCGAAATAAAACGAAGCGTGGAGACACTTTAGTTTTAAAATGTTGAACTACAAGAATGTATTCTAAGTAGTACGTAAACTGCATTGGGAAACAAGATATAAAATACCCATACATATAAAGAAGAAAAGAAAAGAGATAAGATCTCACTCAACATTCATACTTTGCCGAGATTAAGAGCACGAGTATGACTCGTGATATTCATGTTTGATCCGAAACAATCGATTACGAGTCAGACTCGTGATATTCACGTTTGACATGAAATTTAATAACAAGCCTGACTTGTGATATTTAAGTCTGACCTAAAATTTTCATCACGAGTCAGACTCGTGAAAATAGTGCAAGGGGTTAATTGACATTAGGAACTCGAAAGTTCATTGCCGCAAATACCAAATCCCGGCCAGTGTTCTTGTCCCTGAGCGCGGACCCCTCCATTCGCGGTCTTCGTAGCCAATTTCTTTAAGATCCCGAAATAATATTGTCCTCCCATCTACGTCTCGGTCTACCCAGTGGTCTTTTCCCGTTCGTTATACCGATCAGTATTTTATGCACCATTCGATCCAGTCCCATGCGCGCCACGTGTCCTGCCCATCTTAATCGGCGCGATTTTACGACGTTAATGACGTCCGGTTGTGTTGTACAGTCGGTGTACTTGTACGTTATGGGGTTTTCTTCATTCGCCCGTTTCGCCATCGCGACTACCGGTATGATGATTGTCCTGTATATCGTAGACAGCAACCATGAGCTGAGTAAATTGATTCTTGGTTCATTTCTTTTGTCTAAATAAATATGTTTTGTTGTTGCAGTACTATCGTTGAGAAATACGCAAGAAGAGGAACCACCAGATCCACAATTAATGAGGCTGGATAATATGTTGATTGCCGAGGGTGTGGCAGGACCAGAAAAAGGGGGTGGTGCGGGGGCTGCTGCATCGGCATCGGCAGCTGCTGCTGCTGGACCACCTGGACAACCTGATAACGCGATCGAACATTCGGATTACCGAGCGAAACTTGCTCAGATCAGGCAAATCTATCATCAGGAACTTGAGAAATACGAACAGGTTTGTTTTCCCTTTACCATTTTCACACTTCTGATCGTTGATCTTAAAAAATGAGAATAATAATTTAACATTTTTTAATTCTTCGAGTGTTATGGGCGCATATATGCGCTTACCAGTTTTTTTTACTTTCCTTGGTCTCATTATTAACACGTTGAGCATCACGTGAATTCTTACGGAAATCTTCGTCAGGCCACACGCTCAACTTTCCGTTTTGCGAAAGTTGAGTGTCAGACACAAGTGCCTGACACGGCTTGAATATGAAGTTTGGTGTCAGTCATTTATGACTGACGTGGAACTCAACGTATTAAAAAGGAATTAAATACGATAAAAATGAAAGACAATTTTGAATGAATTTAAAGAGGATTTTTTTTTTTTTTAATTAATTTATTGTAAGTATCATTTGTTATATAGTTGGTAGGAATAATAATTTATTTAAATAATTATGTAGAAAAGAGAATATTTGTAGACCACCACGTTGCTTATATTACGGAATTAATAGGAAAAAATAAAAAAAAGCCTAGAAGAATAATTTAATATGTTAAGAACCCTTCTAAAAAGGTAATTTTTGTTCAACTGAACTTTTTTAACATTTTACTATTATGCAAGTAACCAATCTGATAAGAAACGTACGTATAAAACATCCACCTCATTCCAGTTTCTCCTTTGACTATTCGCGTGCTAATAAACGTACGATGCATACGTGTCACGCGAGATCAGTGACCTTGCGTGACTCTTTTTCCTTCTTTATATTTTTCTATTTTTTTTTTCTTCTTTTCTTTTTTATCCTCTTCCTCAAAGAACATCGTCGAACTTCCGACAAATTTTTCCTCGATAAAAAGAACAAAAAAATGGAACATAGAATAAAATTATTCTCGTTGGAATTTTTTCATAATAATACGTAATGCATCAAAATTACAATTACAAAATTTATCGTTGACCTATAATAGTTCGAACAATTGGTAATAAAAATGAACAAAATAATAAACTCAGAACGTTATAGTCTTAAAATCTATTAATTAGGTGAATTATTATCGTGGAACACATGTGCAACGTTCGGAAAGTCTAATAAACAATATTTTAATAAAAGAAATTTCATAGAGGACTTTGCTTCAGTCTGAAGGTGAATTTCGAGGAGGACGGTACTCCGATCATATACTTGGTGTTTTTAAACAACAATACACGTTTCCTTTAATTAATTAACATTATATTAATATTTTAATACACTCTAGTTACATTACAGGACAATTTAACCCTCGAATTCATCACATTCGAACATAAATGGAATTAGGCCACTTTCAGAATAAATAGCACATATATATATATAGTATTGATACTATGTTTAAACGATCAAAAAAAATAATTTAACGGTTTAAACGATGGCTCGTGTTGTTGTACACCTAGCGTACGTATTTTCATTATCCAAACCTGTTTCAACTGCCATATTTCAAAGCGCGTGTCAACGGTGGTCTCGATGTGTTTCTCACACGCGTCATTGTATATGTATATGTATGAGTGTATTGGTATCATCTACAACTAAAACGTATATGTTAGGGTAACTAGTTAGTTTGCTAGCGTGCACGAGACGATGCATTGTAGGGGTGAAGAGGAGAAGAGAAGAGAAGAGGACAAGGGTGGTTGTGGGTGGTCATAGGTAAACTGCATCCCATCGATAATGACACGCGAGAGCCCGTTGGGTTTACCAGTGATACGATGTTAGTTAAGAGGGAGAGATTGGGGAGAGATTTCTCTTCCGGACTACTTACCTGAGATCTTACAAACCACCTTAGAAAGGTCGTGACAAGACTGACGAGTGTCTTTATGTTCTTACTTTGATTTACATTCACTTTTTCGACGAGTGAACGTTTCCAAATTTACGATCGTTCGTGTCTAATTGTATAAAGGGTTTATCTTTTATTTATTTTTGTAATTAATTGTGTAATTTATTTAATTATCATTTATGCTTTTGTTAAAGATTTTTCAAGTATTTTTATTATTTTTAATTCATTTTAATACTATCAGCTGAAATGTTTAGTAAATATGGAATAATGTATTACTAGTATGGATGTTTTGTTGATTGATTTTACTAATCACATTTTAATAATATACATTAAATATTATATTAATATTTTACTATTGGGTCTACAAGTAAGTTTTCAGCGTTTTTTTTTCATAAAATTTGAGAGTTTATTCTGAAAAAATGGTTACATATTTTTCATTCAAAACATTGTCCATCGGAAGTTACAATTTTTTCCCATTTTTCTGGCAATTTGTGAATTCCGGACCAAAAAAAGTTCTCGTCTTTTGAGCCCAAGAACGTATTGAGCCAATTTTTGATTCCCTCTACTGAAGTGAAGCGTATTCCGGTAAGAGCGTTCTGCATCGACCGAAACAAGTGGTAGTCGGATGGCGCCAAATTTGGACTATAAGGCGGGGTGAGGCAGAATTTCCCATCCACTATTATCTAAATAGTTTTTGACTGAAGCAGCAACATGGGGCCGAGCGTTGTCGTGGTGAAAAATTACGGACTCGTGTCTGGTCTGATATTCTGGCCGTTTTTCCGCCAATGACCGCTTCAAACGAATTAGTTAGGTTCGATACAATGGTCCTTTGATGGTTTGACCATTCGGAAGCAGTTAGTAGTATATGACACCCTTCTGATCCCACCATATGCAGAGCATGACCTTATTCATGTAAACATTTCGCTACGGCGTCGATTTGACCGGATCGCTAGGCTTTGCATATGTTTTTTTGTGTTTAGGATTATCATAATAGATCCACTTTTCGTCACCAGTGATAATACGATGCAGAAACGACTTTTTTTTATGCCGCTGCAGCAACATTTCTAACATGCAAAATCGCCGTTCGACATCTCTCGGCTTCAACTCGTACGGTACTCAATTTTCAACTTTTTGGATGAATCCCAAAGCTTTCAGGCGTAGGGAAATGGCTTGTTGCGTGACGCCCAATGATGCAGCAAGCTCTTCTTGAATTTGACTCGGATCCTCATCCAGCAAAGCCTCCAATTCCTCGTCTTCAAAATTTTTCGGCTTTCCGAAGCGCTCCTTGTCTCCAACGTCAAAATCACTATTTTTGAACCGTTTGAACCACTCATGACACGTCGATTTACCAATACATTCTGCCCCGTAAGTTTCCAGAAGCAAACTATAGGCCTCAGCTGCACTTTTCTTCATATTAAAGAATAGAAGCAGCGCTCCCTGCAAATGACGCTTATTTGACACATAACTTGCCATGTTTTTGCTTCATAAAATATACGACGCCGATAGAAATGCGCAAATATGGTGATTCATTGTTGTTAACAGATACACAATCTACGAAAATGACACATGAGATGTGACATTTCTGCCCGGAATCTACTCGTAACACTATGTATTAAAAAACGCTGGAAACTTACTTGTAGACTCAATATATTTTTAATTGCATTGAATTGCAAACCCTTCAATATCTAGATTTGAACATATATGGAGTTAGGCCACTTTCAAAATAAACAGCTCATGTATTATTTTTTAAATAATTTTAATTATATATGCTTATTGTAATGTTAAATTTGACACCTTTAAAAATCGAAAATTCGATTCGAACATAAATGGAAGTACTCGAGTTTCAAAATTATCGGCTCATGTGTCCTTAGCATTCAAAGGGTTAATTGCAAGTAACTGCAAGTGATTTGAAATAAAGTTTACATTTCTTTATTTTTCATGAAAAATGAATTTTTATAGATTTGCTTTATTTGAGAAATATTAATAAAATTTGTCAAAGCAAGAAGTAAATAAATTAATTAGTATTGCAATGTTTTAGATTATGATTCTTTTTTTATGTGTTTCATGTAAAAGAATATAATTAACGTTAGGTATTTTTTTGTTCCCATTTGATTTTATGGTTAAAGCAGTTAAAAAGAAAGTTAAATTATATTATATATGCGGGAATTTGAAAAACAAGAGAATAGCATTTTGTATGGTAATGAATTTTTTGTTTTGCCTGTACACTAGGAGGGAGTTCTGGTCCACGTCTTGTATCTCATTTCGCCTATCGATCGTTAAATTTCCATTATGCGATTGCGCCCGAGAGAAAGAGATAGGAAAAGAGGGAAAGAGAGAGGATGGGCCGTGGGTTAAGCCGAATTTACTATTCAAATTCGGCCGAGTCACTGCATTAGGGTGAATGTCTGGCAGGCTATGCAAAATGGCGTGACAAGTACAAGAATAGAAGCACGCCGAGTTTTATGAGATCGCGTGATCACTATAGCAGCCAACATCGTTCCCACCGCATGCTCGGCTTTATTTTATCCGATTTTCACTGTGTTCTGATTCCAACCACCAATTCCATAGGACGAGCAACGCGATATAATTTATTTTTATTTTCATTTTCATTTTATTTTATTTCTATTTTATTCTTCAAGCCATTTATTTTTCTTTCTTTTTCCTCTTTTTTTTTTTTTTATATAAAATTCCCATTATATACACGGCATTAATTACTTAACGAGCGCGTTTATTATCTCTTGCATTTATTTTCTTTTAATCGTATCGGAACGGTACTTATTATACTTATAAAACGTTTCTTGATTCAGATTATCGGAGTTTTTTTTATTCCTTTTATTTCTTCTTCTTCTTATTATAATTGTTATTATTATTCTTTGATTCGTTTATTTCTGTAATTCTTATCAATGTAATGTCATTCTATAATTTATAAAATTATCCTTTACTGTAAATACGACTTGCATAACGGTTTCATTTCCTTTTTGTTAGAATGTCTATGATTATGTTAGTCATGAGACTTGTTTAATATTAAAATGAATGTATAACTCTTTGTGTGAATTATATAAAGATGACGAGATATTTTTGAAATTACGATCAACACAAAATTATGCAAAATATTTCAAACATCTCAAAGAAGATATGAACAGAAAAAATGAAATACATATTTCCATTTAGGTAATGTTAAAAAATAAATCATAAATATGATTAAAGTTACCGATAACGCATTTATCTCTAAAAAATATAAATATGATTTAACGATAAGAGTAAAATGAAAGAAGAAGAAAATAGTTTGATCAAAGGAGCTTCAGTGTCTTGAGCTCTATTTCCCTGATCTTTCGTCTACTCCATCCAATCCAGTTTCCCTCGAATCCAAGACCAGTTTCGTTTGCGTTGGCACGTGAGAAGAGAACCAGAGAAAGGAGAGTACGAACGAACTAGAGGGCCAGGATAAGGGAAAAAGTAGGAAAGAGAAGGATGATGAAGGGGGGGGGTTGGTTGGGGGTGTATCAGGGGAACGTCGACGATAGTGGAATCCATTTCGAAATTGCGAGGCCACGTTGTTGCTGCTAGTACTGGTGGTGATGGTGGTGGTGGTTCGTCCTTTAACTCTCCTTGGCCAATCCTCTCCTCTCTTTCTCTCTGCATCCTCAGCATACCTTTCTTCTTCTTCTCACTGTTCTTGTCTTTTCCGACCATCTTTTCTTTCTTACCTCCTAGGAAAAGCCTTTCTATCTATCTATCTCTCTCTCTCTCTCTCTCTCTTTCATTCTTTCTCCGTGTGTTATTTTCTCTCCTTTACTGTATAACTCCACCCTCGAAAGTCAGAATAAGACACGTCCCGAATACTGATACGCTACGAGCAAAGTCCTTTTTTTTTTCTTCTTCTCTTAAACCGGGGTAGCAACCACGAGGAATAATTCATTTTACGCGTGTGTCTTTTTTTTTTTTTTTTGTCAGACTCTTTTCATCTTCTGTTTTCTTCGTGATACCTCAACGAAATCCTTGATCTCTTCGAGATAAGGTTTTGGGTCTTAGGTTGAACTTACTTACATCCACTGCTTTGTTTCTTTTTTTCTTTTCTAATCCTTTCGTTATTACGAGCCACTATAATGGCCCGTAATAAGATGCCACTGAGGTACTAAGGACTACTACTATAGTGGCCCTCCATTAAATGCTGCTTATTTTACATACGACGAATATATGCAGTTATAGCAGACCAAATATCTCATTATGAGATATCTGAACGTGTAATTTTAGTGTTTTGTTTCTTTTAATTTAAAATCATTAACACATTGTACGCCGGCGACCTAAGAGATATTTAAAGCCTAAGCGCCATCGTGGGGCAGCTACTCAAGCGACAAACTCATTAACCCGCGGTTTCGCGGGGCCGGCGCTCAAGCGACAGTCTCAGAAACCCGCGTTTTCGCGGGGCCGGCGTACAATGTGTTAATATCAGCAATAAAATTACTCAAAAATAAGGTGCAATTTCGATGTTGCATGTATTAGTAGCCCGTACAGTTGGAGTAGAACCGCTAAAAACACGCCCGTAGCGAAAGGGTTAACGATATTCGTAACCAGTTAACTGTGGCACCATGTCGAGTCATGACGAGTATACTCGTCAATCACAGAGTAATTTGCGCTGTTAAAATATTGGATCAAATTGATGGGTTTGTTTTATAAAATTGACATATAAAAGCAAGAATTAAAATTCCTGCTGCGAAAAGGTGTTCAGCGAAACAGGGTACAATACACAATGGGGCTTTGCAAATGGAACACCAGTAACGCGATTCCTTCCTGATCTTACGTTTATAGCAATGTGAACACCTTCCCGTAGGGTTGTTTATTTTCGAAGTTCCTGGTATATAATCCGAAACATGATTCCCGCCTAATAGGCTTACATTAGGTCTAAGGCTACATTACTCAAGGCTACATTAGGCCGAGTTTGTGTCGATTTTTCTCTTTGAATTGGATACGTCGCAAAAATGTCTTCAAATGTATTTCTTTCCTTCTGACGAAATGTTTTCTACCTGTCTTTACATTAAGGAAGCTCTGGAGTAGCTGCTGTAGGGTTGATCACAGTCCTCTTACCAGAAAGCATCCTAGCCTTTCCCACCCCAATAAAATAACTGTTCTTTAGGCAGCACGGTATTGGGGCATTACTCTAATGTCAGCACATGATTCTAATATCAAACAATTGGCATTTACACCACTCGATAGCCAGGTAACTTCGGACCTGTAGCTATCAATAGGCTCAGCGCCTGGTCGGTGTCATGCATTTCTCTCATACTTGACGGGATCCTATTATAAATCAACTTTCTGACTATTACCTTTGCCCCTTTTAGGCTAACATCTAAAAAACGTTATCATCACACATAAATCAATTCGTTATGCGAACTGTTAAGCTGTTTCAGCCGGTGTATACGAGGACGCAAGAGTTCATATCAAATTATTAGTAGTTTTTTGTTTGTTTTATTTCGGTATGGCTCAAAATATTCTGAACATCTTGAAATTTGAGAATATGTTTTGCTTTTCTCAAAAATTACAATTTAACATCTTAGGTACTGCTAAATTTTGCGCGAAGCTGTTTCTCTGTACAGCAGGATTCAAGAGACAATGCCGTTCTCTACGCGAGTACATTAAAATAAAGTATTTAATGATTAAATATATTATAATTTTTCTTTAAAATATATTGCATATACTTTAACTTTAACAATTTACTTTAACCCTTTTGCCACTACGGGCGACTATAGTCGCTCTCCATAAAATGTCATTGACGTACTACGAGCGACTGAAGTCGTTCTACATAAAATGCCACTCAGATACTACGGGCGGCTTTAATCGCTATGCATAAACGCGGACGCTGTCGATTTTACTGAGCACCGGGCACATTTTTGGCGCAGCGGCACGTTCAGCGGAACTACCATGGCGGAGAAGTCGCCCGTAGCGAAAAGGGTTAATAATTAATAATACAATTAGGTATGATATATTTTAAAAGATATCATCCACGAAAGCCACTATAGTTGCGAGTAGTGTCTAAGAGGTTAAATAGCCAATGGGTCACTATTTTATACGCATGACGAGTATACTCGTCAATATACAAAATCGTGCCACTTATCCATGACGAGTATACACGTCAATCACAGTTAACTGTTTATTGTTTCAAAGACAAATACAAAATATAAAAAGAAAAATAATTGTATATTAATACGTATAATAAATAAAATAAATGTGAAATAATTGAATTGTTTTAGGCATGCAACGAGTTTACGACTCACGTGATGAATTTGTTGAGGGAACAGAGTCGTACCAGGCCAATAACGCCAAAGGAAATTGAAAGAATGGTTCAGATTATTCACAAGAAATTTTCAAGTATTCAAATGCAATTGAAACAATCTACTTGCGAAGCAGTTATGATTTTAAGGAGTCGTTTCCTCGATGCAAGGTACGTTCATCGTTTTATCAATTTTTTTTATTTGTAATCAAATTAATTGTCAATAGAAGAAAAAAAACAACTGATATATTTTATCGAATTATAAAAAAGAAACTGATGGTGGAAAAAGTGTGTTTTTTTTTTCGTTGTGACTTGTTCGCAGGCGTAAGAGACGGAACTTTAGTAAACAGGCTTCTGAAATCTTAAACGAGTATTTCTATTCGCACCTGAGTAATCCATATCCGAGCGAGGAGGCCAAAGAGGAACTCGCACGGAAATGTGGAATCACCGTGAGTCAGGTAAAGTCAGAAATATATATTCATTTCGTTATATTAATATATATTAAAATTTGTTTCATTGTACAGGATAAATGAAAAGTTATTAGACCATTGACGATAAACACATCATCGTGAATAATAAAATGGTTACTTTTCGAAGGATACAATCTACAATATTACAAAATGACATAATACATTGTTTATAGAAATTAATAGAAAAACTGTATATAATTTGTTTATTTAGGTTTCCAATTGGTTCGGCAACAAGAGGATACGCTACAAGAAAAACATAGGTAAAGCGCAGGAGGAGGCGAACTTGTACGCAGCCAAAAAGGCAGCTGGTAAGTTCCGTCCTTCGCGAATGAGCAACGGGTGTTCCTTAAAGAGTTCCTTTCATTTTTTTATAATTTTATCAAAAAAAATAGCTACTATTGTTGATAATTTTGCAACACTTTTACATGACTTTATATAACACAGAAAAAAAAAACATTATACGCGTATTGGGTGCTTCTTGTTTAAATTATCATTTGACATTTGATTATAATATTAATTAAATCAAGCAAAAAAGAAAAAAAAAAGAAAAAGAAAAATAGGGAAAAGATGTACGTAAGAATAATTTTGTTTGTTTTTAAAAGAAGAAAAAAAAAAGAATAAAATATTGGACACACATAGCTTACGTTGTTACTTAAATTCTCACGTTGCTTTTTTAAACGACTCGTGTTCTTTCATAACTTGTTCGTTATTTTCGTCCTACGAACGAAATTAGAACGCGGAAGAACTCGTTTAACCGTGATGGTTACTAATTACCGTAAATCATTAAAGCAATGCCAGGTAAGTTACTACGTGAAGGTATTAACACTTCGACATAAATTTTCTAAGCCAGAGAGAGTGTTACCTGCAAAGACACACACACATACACACACACACACACACACATACACACATTCACGCGTATGAAGTCTCGTCGTTAGTTTATTTTTTCTTTTCCTCTCGGTTGTTCTTCATTTTTCCTCACTGGGAGTAAATTCTTTTACACAAAACTCCAACACACACGTTGTCTTTGTCCCGTTCTCGCGAGTAGATATATATGTATGTATGTAAGTAAGTATGTGTATACTTCTCTCATACTTTTATAGAATAATTGGTGAGGAAAATTTTTCAAGGTGTTGGACTTTTCTGAGAAATTCTTCGCATTCACGAGGGTCCTAGTGTAATTTTTATTACGTCGGTATCCATACCCTTAGCTAACTGCAAACGCGTTTCTTTATTTTTACAGACATACACACACACCGTTCTGAGATATTTTTTAAATTACTAATTATACGAAGAAAGAAAATTAGATAGAGAGAATGAGAGAAAAAGAATACGACACGAGGAACAATGGGAAGATTTCCATTTTTACAGTGTTTGTTTTTTTTTATTTTACAGCTCACGTTCTTCTTCTCAACTTTACTTTACTTTACTTTACTTCTTCTACCTTTTTCAAACAGTAGTCTCGTAATTAAAGGAACTAAATTCTAGTAGTGAAACTATGACCTTTAAGTGTTGTGTAGATGGGTGGAGGCGGAAAAGGAAAGGAAGGGAAAGGTAGGGGAGGGGAGTTCGTGTCCCGTCAGCCACAAATATCTCAAAGGCCTCGCCCCTTTTGATCGGATTCGTAACGGATAAGAATTAATTGCATGTCCCGGTATACACGTACACACACACGCGTACAAATATATAGGGGGAAACACAAAAGGTATTTCGGGAATAAAATAAAAACTATTTCGAAAAATGTAACTTTATTTATTAATTAATGAAGTCAACATAACATTAACAAAAATACAACTTCTGTATAAATATATTTAAAAATAAGAATTAAACTTTGGTGTTAAAATATACAATCGCTGGAAGTGTCACATAGTACCGGACAGATTTCACTTCGAACAACTAGCACCGAAAATTTTTAAATCATCCAGCATTGATCACGATCTACTTATGTAGACGTCTAAACATTTAGGAATGTCTGCACATGCTTCATGAGCCCACCCATGGCAGTTGGAACACTGTATCCAGTCTTCGTCGTAGTCCACTAAACACACTACGCAAGTAGTTCTTTCAATTTCTGATATCTCAGTCAGTAGCTGTTTTTTCTTATCTCTATCTCCACTTTTTCCCTTATCTTTTACTCCTTTGGTTTGTTGCTCGTGCTTTTCTCTTGATATTTTCAATGCAGTTTTCACTGTCCAGCGTTAAGGGACTATTTTTGTCCAGTACTAGGGAAAAGGATAATACCACCATTACGTGATCTATACCTAATATGTTTTGAAAAATAACAGAAACATTCATATATAACGAATAATAATGGAACCCTTTATAAATGGACAAATACCATAAAGACTTAAGCACAGACATGTAGCTGTAACATTTACCTGAATCTTAGACAATGCAGTGTTTTTCTGCAGAAAACAGAAATTGTCCGCTCCTGATGTTTCCTTGAGCGTCACTGATAAACTGAATCGTATGACCCCGCACCCCTTTCATCCTTTTTTGAATCGTTTACATTAGTTTTTTTTTTTTGTTGAAATAAATGTGTGTCCAGTGTTACGTGAACTCTTCCTGTATATGCACTTACGTACAAACTTCTCCCTTTTTTCTCTACAATTTTTTTATTTTAATGCAATCTCGCTATCAGGTTTTTTCATTCGAATAAAAAATTAAAAAAATTTATAAATGTATAACTAAAGCATTGTCTGTATGTGAGATATTGCATTACGTACATACACTGAAAACATGTACGCGGAATTTAACCGACGGCGTTGACGTAAAATAAAATAAAATAAAATAAATAACAACAGAAATAAAAAATATAGAAGAAACACAGTTAAAACCAGTTGAAATCAATTAAAAGCTTTCACGTATATATCGAGCATAAAATAAATCAATGGGATATTTATTCGGTTATTTAAAACGGCGCCAGTTTCTTTTTTTATATTTTTGTTTTTTAAACGATCGAGGATTATTTATTTTATTTATTATTTTTTATTATTATTTTTTATTATTTTTTTATTATTATTATTGTTAAAAATATAGAAAGAAATAAATGAAAATAAAGCACACAATAAATAAAAAGAAAATGCAAAAAAAAAAAAGGCTATGTTTGATATTTAAAGAACTTATAGTAGCACCCTCGAATTTTGTATGCACCGCGATTGTTTCTACAGCAGCTTTTGCAGGAGCGTCGCCGTACAGTATGGGTGGTGCCAGCCAGGGTACACCAACGCCAATGATGTCACCTGCACCACCTGGTGGACCTCAGGATATGGCGGGATACGGTATGGGAATAAATGGAAGTGATTATGGCTCGCAACCTTACAATGACGGTTCCATGGGTTACGACCCTATGCACCAGGTAAATCAGTTTTACTAAATTTTTTAAAACCCCCTTTTCTACTATCATTTTCATTTATACTTCTTTGTTTTTTTTTCTTTTTTTTTTTTTTTAATTTTCAATTCAAGATCAACACGTTGATTGTCGCATTTGATTTTTTTTTATTTGTTTGTTTTGTTAACACTAAACGTACGGATGCTTTATGCACACTTATTTCTCACTACAACGAATCAAAATGATTTTATTGTTATAATGTGAACTATTTTGATAAATTTTACAACCGGTCATTGCAAGTTTAATGTTAAAAGAAAAATATGATAGAATCTGTAACTGGATAAACTAACGTGACAGTCAACGTGGTCACATCTACATTTCTATATAATACATTTAATTAATAAATAAATTAATTAATTGTTATTTATATACAATACCCAATAAAAAAAAAAAAAACTAACCCTCAATGCGAACGACTGATAGAGAGAGAAAGAAACAGAACGATCAGAACGAATGCGCGAGTAAATGCGTGAGTGAGTGTGTGCGCGATTGTGTGTGTGTATCTGTGTGACGAGTGAGAGCGAGAAAAAGAAAAAAAAAATAGACAAATGAGGATAAAATTATACGTAGATTGTGGTCATTCGTCAGCTCTGGCTTCATACGATCCCACGCACTCGTCAAGCATGCGTTCATTGTTTCTATCTCTTTTTTTTCCCTACATCTATCATACATATATATATATATATACTCTCTATTTTGTTGTCTATATACTTTATATAAATATCTTCTACCTATTATTTCATATTATTTTGTGTGTTTTTTTTACTTGTAAGTAGATTTGTTTTGCTAAGTAGTTAGTAAATAAAAGAATTTGTAAAATATTCGGTTGGTGCGTATAAAATGTCAGATTTTTAAGTGAATATGTATATATCTTTTTACAAAAGCTGTTTATTTAATCAAAATATGCTCAATTCGTTTCAATACACTTTTCCCAACATAAATTGGTCTGTCTTCATTTTCATATTGTTTAGTCCGTATAAACAGTTCCAAATGTTTCATAAAATAAGCTGGTTGCTGCAAAACTTCATATTTCAATTCATTTAATTTTGCAATTGCGATAAATGTGGCTGAGCATTGTCATGTCGATTAGCAAGTGATGAGGGTTTCATTTTTAACTTTTCATGCATCTCATCAATGCACTGGCAGTACTTTTCTGAGTAATTGTCTCTCTTACTCAAAGGAACGAGTAATGAACTAGTATACTAGTCACATTCCACCAAACTGTGATTCAAATCTTCTGTGAATGAAGTGATGATGGCCTTGGAGTATGAGCACAAGCCTCATCTCTATCAAGCCACCGAGCACACCTTTTTCTGTTGTCGTAAAGAACCCATTTTTCATCACAAGTAATAATCCGATCGTAAAATGGCTCTCAATGAAATCGGGTTAGTAGTGATGAGCATACGTTTAACCAATCCAGCTTGTTTAGCTCGGTTAGTTCGTGTGGCACCCATTTATCCATTTTGTTCACCTTGCCAATTTCAGAAAGGTGTCGCAATATCGTTGTATGGTCAACTTTCATCTTGATAGCTAGTACAGTTGGATTTGTTTCCACCAATGCCTTCAGATCATCATTTTACACGGTCGTTTTGGGTCTTCCTCCACCAGACCGAAATTTTTCAAACCAACGCTGCACTTTTTGATTGTTAACAGTATTTTTCCTGAATGCCATGTTTATGTTTCATGCAGCTTTTGCAGCATTATTATCAAGTTTATACTCATACAAGAAAATGACACGAATTTCGGTAGAAAATTCCAAAGAAATAACAAAAGGAAACACTTCTTAGAAAATCTCCTATGTTAAAATGTTACTCTGGCAATGAACAGTACGACTATAAAAGAGGTTATGTTTTGCATGTAAAATAAAAAAACGACATTTTATATGCACCAATTTAATATTATTATTAATCATTTCCATCTTGAATTTAACATCGCATGCAGCATCTTGTTATTATTTTATTATATAATATGTATTTGCACTAATCATCGGCTAAGAGAGAAAGTTTATTAACGTGTGAGAGCTTGCGTGATTAAAAAGAGAATGTGTGTGTGTGTGTGAGAGAAAGAGAAGAGATGATTTTAGTAAGTTATGGTGAACATGGATAAGGCTATGGGTATGATGGGTATGTGTTGTAGTAAATGGGGATGCTGTTGCTAGCCTGGTTGGAAAGTTCTCTAAAAAGGGATCAATTGGGGGAGGGGTGTTGTGTGTCTTTCTTCATTCATGGTAAATGTGTATATTGCGAGTACAAGGGTAGTAGTAGTAGTAGTAGGCCTTTTATATACGCGTTACTAAAATCTTAGAAGCCCTGTAAAGAGACGAT